CCCCAAAACCCCAAAACCCCAAAACCCCAAAACCCCATAAGAATTAATAAAATGTATGGTAGAAAAATAGTAATATAATTAAACATATAAAACAAATATGTTTGCAAAAGGCTTCAGCTAAGGCTTTAGATAAAACTTTAGGAAGACATCCAAACCCAGTAATACATAAACCATTACCAATGATATCCTAACACCTATGACGTGATTATAGGCTTTAGTTTCTAATAAAAGCAAAGCTTCTTTACCTTTAACAAGATGAAGACAAATTAACAATTCTAGCATATTGACAAAGCAATGTAAGTTGAAATTCATACCAGATGGTGAATTCGTTGTATTTGATGAAGTCCTAATTACTAATATTTGTAGGAAGATTTATCAGCTTTAATTGGTAAGAATGTCCAGCACCATGAGTCTTATCCTATCTATGAATAACAGCTTACTGCTCAACCCAGATGCTGCGTCTATGATTGAAGAAGATCAAGGTAAATTATCTAATTAATTAATGATTATAGAAGTTGAGGAGGATGATTCGTAAGTACCTATTATTAGATGAGTTTATTATTTCTCGTCCTTATTTCATTATTCCTATTTCCTATCATATCTTTGGTATTTCAAGGCCGCTCTTCAATATACCTGCTACTGCTAGTTCTTTATCCTAGTTAGTAAGAGAATTGATAGAGATAGGTGTAATGCCCAGATTGATATGAATATACTTATCTTTAGTACATCTAGTCCTTGACTGTTAACCTCTTTTCTCACAGAATCATACGTATAGGGGCACACGAAGATCAATCACCCTCATTAAATCACTATGAAGATTATGAATGTACAGAATTAGGATGGTTTCAAGGCAAATAATAATTGAGTGAATGAATTAAAAAACAGCATTAACATAGATAGAATGAACTTTTGCGGAGTGAACTTTCTTAATATTCTTTGATTAATAATTTATAAAATGACTTTTAAACATAATTAAGTTTATTTGAACTATTAATAATGAAGAGACAGAGTGATTTTTATAATAAAATATGGGGTTAATTGTTAAATAAAAGAATAATGCTTGACTACAGCAGTTGCATGATGGCGCATGATCCACATCCAGGGCTCAGAAGATCCATTCTGGTTCTGAGTTGACCTTCTTGAAAGCAGAAGCAGCGCACTTGTCCAAGATACCCTTGGTCACGAGGCACTTGTTCTCATCATAGTTATTCAGACTCATGCAATTTCTGAAAGTTTTGACATCGGCCTGGCAGAACTTGTCTAAAATGCTTTGTCTGGGAGAACCCTCATCTTCTCTGGGGAAACTAAGGAGTAAGATTAATTGGTCAAGGATATTACTAGATAACTCTCTCATCGACTAGGGTTGACTTCTTTTTAGTACCACCAAACATGTGGACCATATTTTCCATCGGCATTTTCTTTTGTTCGCTTTAACTAAAATAATTATTAATAATACTCCTTAGAATCTATTAATTCAAAATATTAAATTCTAATCGTGATTAAATGATGATGTTAAAGTTAGCTAAACATCAGTAATAGAACTTGCAGCGAGTCTTTCTAAGAAATTAAGGTTAGATCTGTTCCTCATCTAGATCTTCTTAATTATCTATGAAACTGGACAGACATACTAATAGTTATCTATATAACTACCAAGACTAAAGTAACAGATACTTTAGTTCAACACAACGTAAGTATAAATTCCTACTTTAAATGTTTCAGCATCAGAAAAGGAAGAAAAAAAGGAAGATAAAACAGATAAGATGTAAAATATAGATAAGAATCCCTACTTTTAGCAGCAATCAAAACTAAAGTAATGTCAATTAAGCTAAGCTTTCGAGTATTTACTATTAAGATAGAGCAACAAAGAAAGAGATAAATTAGTTTCTGTACCCCTTGATATTCAATGAGGAAACAAAGAAAAAATTATATGGTTCTACTATATTGTTGGCATTATCTAAAACCCTTGCAATAGCGAGTCCTTTCTTTTTAAAGATTGCAGTAAACGCTATAGCTGAGGCTCAAAAAATGGACTTTAATCTAGCTTGCATGAGTATTATGGCCTATGGTGCATCAAGATTTTTATCAACAGTGTTTTAGGAAATAAGAATGAATCAAATAACTTAAATTATTCAGACAGGATTGAAGAATCTTTCATTGACATCTTTCAACCATCTTCATACTTTAGATATCTACTACCACAAAATTTCATCAAAAAATACTGTGTTTGCTATTGTTAAAGCAGTAAAATCAGTTGAGAGTGCAATGAGGTTTGCTCTTGGATTCTTCGCTCCTGTTGGCTTTGAATTTTTCCTTCTATGTGGAACACTGTATTTTTATTGTGGCACCCCTTATTTAGTAAATATGTTATTTACTCTCTCAATGTATACAGCCTTCACTAAATGGTACAGTTCCTTTAGATAAGCTTTGATAAGAAAAAATAAGAATAATGAAAAAAAATCCGAGTTCTACTTAAACGAGAGTATCATGAATTTTGAAACAGTAAAGAATTACAATAATGAAAAGCTAGAAACAAAGAGATATGAGAAACTTTTAAATAAGATTAAGGACTCAGGCTATTTCATTCAACAGACACTCTCGAAGTTAAATATTGGACAGGGCCTCATTTACTCTCTTGGTTTGACATTTAATTTGATATTGTCTGCATATGATGTTTCCTAAGGAAAACTAACTCCTGGTGATTTTGTAATGATACAGGCTCTATTTCTGTAACTCAGTGGACCAATAAGCAACATGGGAACACTATTTAGATAAATTGATTAGTCATAGGTTGATATTGAGGATCTTTATTTTCTAATATAATAGTAGCCATTAGTCAAAGAATCGCCAAATGCTAAGCCATTTATTTTCAAAGAAGGATAGATTGAGTTAAGGAACATTAAGTTTAAGCATTTGTTAACATCTGTTAATAAGGAGCATAAAAAATTGGGTTAAATAAATGCAAACCAAGAAAATAATTAGAATAAATATCTTTTTGATGACTTATCCATTACAATAAAGCCAAGAACAACTAATGCGATTGTAGGATATAGTGGCTTTGGAAAGACTACACTTTTGAATATTATGGTAAAATTAACACATTAATATATTTATCTAGACAAGAATTTATGATCCAGACTAAGGATAAGTTCTCATTGATGGATAAGACATTAAGGATTTGACATTCGAGTCTTACAGAAAATATATTAGTGTAGTGCCACAGAATGGAATATTGTTTAATGACACGATCCTTTTTAATTTGAAGTATGGTAATCTAGATGCAACAATGGAAGAAGTTGTAGAAATAGCTAAAAAGTGTTAAATTCATGATAGAATTCTAACTATGGAATAAGGCTACGATACCTAGGTAGGGGATTTAGGAAGCAAATTATCTGGAGGAGAGAGGCAAAGAATATTAATTGCCAGAGCTTTACTCAAGAAAGATTGTGAAATATTCCTTTTTGATGAAGCTACTAGCAACTTAGATTCTCATATTGAGAGAGACTTAACAGACTGCTTAGATGAGATGATGGTTAATAAGACAGTTATCTACTGTGCTCATAGACTATCATCAATTGTCAATGTAGATAATATTTATGTCATGGCTGATGGGAAAGTAGCTGAATAAGGTACTCATTGGGATTTAATATAACGCGAAGGCTCTCTATATAGTTAAATGTGGAAGGATTATCTTAGAGAATAGGAAGTAAAGACGGAGGGAAAAGTACTTGAAGTTTAAGTAAATCCTTAAGATAGTAAGGCCTGACTGACTGAATAAATGATTTAAATAAAAGTGATAACTATTTAAGTTACAGACTAATTAGAGTCAACCTTTTAAAGAGTTTAAAACTATTTAAGATTAATATTAGTATATCAGTATTATGACTATTTTAATAAATTGTCTGCAATCGCTTATAATAAAGTCAGTTAATTTGATTAAGAAAAATGGCAACAGGTAAAGTTATCTAACCAAAGACCCTGCTTAAGCTACAAAAGGAGGCACCTTCAAATATTGTAAAAATGAATAAATATTGACTATTGTAGTAAATCATCAAGCCAGATTAGAGGAAGGAGTAGAATCAGTAGAATATTGGTGCGATGATGATGGGTAGATAGAAAGTAGACTTCTCTAAAATTGAGATTTAAAACCTGCCTCAATTTAAAGGTAAAATTAGAAAATTTAAATTTTCTGATAACTGTGCAGATATTGATATTGAAAAGTGGAAGTTACTGTATGTAGCTAAGTTGCGAGCCTGCTTTAAACTGGCTGACTTTACTGATAGTAAAAAAGAATTAGAATTCAAAGACTAGAAAAAAGACACATTAATAGAAGTTATAGACATTCTGGAGGATCCCGGTGCTGTATAAGTTTTGCTTAATGAGTCGATTTTAAAAGAATCTATAAGAATGATCGAAGTCAATATATTCAGGACTTTTACTAACAAATGTAATTAAACAATTTAAATGACAATGCCTTGTAGTGAATAAAAAGACATCTTCAGTAGATCCCGATGAGGATGAGCCACATCTTGAGGAAGCATGGCCTCACCTATAACTAGTATATGAATTGCTTCTTAAATTTGTGATGACTACTTTCATCCCCTCATCTGTAATTGCTGCTAGCATAAGTTCATCTTTTATCAAATAAATGCTTGATCTCTTCGATTCTGAGGATCCAAGAGAAAGAGACTATCTCAAGACTATTTTGCACAGAATATATGGGAAATTTATGCCCTTAAGGACCCCTATCAGATAATAAGTAATGAACTTATTGCTGAAGGTAACCTATGAGCATGAGAATCACAATGGTCTAACTGAACTACTCGAAATCTTATCCTCTATTGTTTCCGGTTATACAGTACCCTTAAAGCCCGAACATCAAGAATTCTTCATGAGAGTTATGGTACCTCTTCACAAAGTAAAGTAACTTTCGAACTTCAATACTTAACTCCAACTGTGCATTAAAAATTTCCTCGAAAAAGATAATACTTTAAGCGTCCCACTTATAAAAGGATTAATAAAGATCTGGCCGATCACTAATCCAGCCAAAGAAGTGATATTCTTGAACGAAATAGAAGAGATAATGGATACTCATCCTACAGTTACTTAATAGAAATTCTCAGATTTTGGACCTAAACTATTGAAGAGGATGATAAAGACTTCTTAATCTATGCATTACTAAGCAGCAGAGCGAGCTCTGTTATAACTTAACTCTGATACTATCTAGAAACTAGTCAAATAAAATAAAGCCATTGCCTATCCTCTGGTGGTAAAGAGTTTGCTTTAAGGTTCTCAGTAATCACATTGGAACTAAACAGTAACAACTATTACTTATACAGTGATCAGAAGTTATATGGAGATGGATCCAGAGGGATTCGATCAGTTATAGAAAATAGCCACGAGTGAGGATAAAACAAAACAAGCAAGATCTAAAGAAATTGAGGGTAGATGGTCAAGGCTCGAATAGAAAGTAGGAGTTTTAAGCAATTGAAATTCAATAAATAAAGTTTGAGATATTATAAGTCAAACCCCTTAGTGCAATTCAATCTCAACATTAATCTATGTGAAATTATATCCCTTTAATATATTCATCTTGCTTCACTGATTTTCCAAAAAGTTATAATTTCAGCTATTTGGGGTTTTGGGGTTTTGGGGTTTTGGGG